TCTGTAGAAGGGATCCCTGTGACCAAGCATGGTTCTACAGAAGGGATCCCTGTGTCACAGTATGGTTCTGTAGAAGGGATCCCTGTGACCAAGCACGGTTCTGTAGAAGGGGTCCCTATGACCGAGCATGGTTCTATAGAAGGGATCCCTGTGTCATAGTATGGTTCTACAGAAGGGATTGCTGTGACCGAGCATGGTTTAGAAAAGGGCCTATCCAGAAGTAGCACCCAGCTGCACCTCCAGCCTTACTTCCTACTGCTGTTTATTACCTTCAACTCTGAAATTTCCAATCATTTGTGGTTATCTGCTCCTACTATGCTATTTTACACTTTCCTGCCTTTGCTCATTCATTCTTTATCTGGAATTCCCTGGTCACCTTTCTTGGTCTGCCTCAGCTCAAGCTTCATCTCTTCCAGGAAATCCTTCCTGAGCCAGTGGCTTGGCCAAGGACCCTTTCTGGGGGTGCTCAGGGGAACTTGTTCGCAGATATGTCTTGGCCATTGCTACATTATTTTGACATTATCTGGTTATATAGCTGTCTGCCATGCAAGACAATAGATCCTCCAGCAAATAGACCATGACCCACGTACCTTAGCCCCCAGCACCTAGGGCAAGGCCATGTACGTGCTAGGCATTCAATCAGCCTTCACTGAACTGAGCTGAACTGATTAAGTCAAATCACCATGTTTTCTGGATGTTATGCCATGTTATGTATTTTGTCCACATTTCTGATTTTATGTTTTCAGGTGTCTCTGTTCAACTATGTATTTTTGATTTCTTGGGCTTTTGCTCTGCCATATGCCAAGCTGCGCCGTCTGGCTTCAAGTGTCTGCACTGTCTGGACATGTGTGATTATTGTCTGCAAAATGTTGTACCAGCTCCAAACCATTAAGCCTGAGAACTTTTCTGTTAACTGTTCCTTGGTGAGTCTCAAAGATGAGGGAAACTTCCTGACTACCCTTAGGGAAGTGAGGCAGATATTTGGGGAGCCTTCATCCCCAAGCACATTCAGTCTGTTTTTTAAGTCACCTCACCCAGGCTGTATATATCCTTGCCCTGTGTGCTTTTCCCAAGTATTTTCCTGTGTCAAGATTTTCCCTTGAAACAGATCTTTCCCTGCCTAGCCCACCAGTGTCCCTTTGTTCAAAGCTGAAGGAGAACAATCTGGACTCTCTTAATCTGTGAAGCCATTTCACTCCAATTTGTCTTCTTTTCAGCCAAATGAAAATCAGACGAACATAGACCTTGAGCAGTTGAACGCATCGATACTCTACAATGCTCCCATCGACCCCACGGAGTGGGTTGGCCTGAGGAAGTCTTCCCCCTTGCTCGTCTACCTGAGGGTAACAGCTTCCTTCTGTTTCATTTGGGCCTCGGCACAGTTGTAGTTTGGAATCCTTTCCCTTGGAACTCTGAATATCACATTGATCTGTAACTTCATCTTCTTACGTGGCATTTGGAATTATATTCAAAACAAATGACTAAATATTAAAATCAGTTTTGCATTGTGCTGAAAGAAATTGATCAAGTAGTTGGAGATTGGTTAAATAAAGTATGAAAAATGCATTCACTGGAACATTGTATAACCAGTAAAAGATTGAGGCAGGTTAATATGTCAGGCATTGAGAGAGCACCAAAATAGATTATTAATTTTTAAAAAAAGTCAATATGATCTCTGCTAAGCACAAAGAAAAATACTGAGTAAAATATACCAAAAGGTCAACAGTGATTAGTTCTGAGAAGTGGATTTAGCATTATAAGAAATTTTTACTGTCTAAATTCAGTATCTATATTATTGTTAATAAAGAGCATATATTAGTTTAGAAACAATAAAATAAAACAGCATATCTTTGAAAAATGAACTTTGATTGCAAAGAGTTATATCAAACATAATGAAAGCAATATTCTTCAGATTTTTCACATTTTACTCTGAGCAGGCTAAATAATATTGACTACCCACTTAAAACCTTTATACTTCACACCTGGAATTAAGCGGACTGAGCATCCCATTTTCCTAGACTGGCCTTTTTGGTTTTCCTCATACGGCATTTGTACCGACCATAAAGGGATGGTGTAAGGATAAAACAAATTGATATTTGGAAAAAAGTGATTAGAATAGTGTCTGGCACATAATAAGTATTCAATAAATGTGAAATATGTTACTACTATTATCAATATCATCATCATTATTGTTTTATCATCATCATCCTTCTCAATTTGCTGCGGTTTCTAGCCAGATTTTGGAGGTGTTCAAAAACTTCCCTCCTAGCTAACATCCCACTCATCCAGCTAGTCTGGTTCCCAGAACATCCCTGTACTACTTTATGTGTCTCTTAAACCCTGGTGGCGTAGTGGTTAAGAGTTTGGCTGCTAACCATAAAGGTCGGCAGTTCGAATCCACCAGGTGCTCCTTGGAAATCCTATGGGGCGGTTCTACTCTGTCCTATGGGGTCGCTATAAGACGGAATCAACTTGGTGGCAAAGTGTTTGGTTTGGTTTTGCAAGCAAGGTTGACCCACCGTCATAAGGTAACTGGATGGGTGGTGTGTGCTTCTTCAGGAAGGGAAATGAGCAGCAGCAGTCTTTTCTCTAAAGATTCTAGATCCTATTATCATGGAAATTAGCCTTATTTGCATAGTGGAGAGAACGCCACCCTTGTAATAACACATGGAAAATAAACACCGAGCTCAATACTATATTTTACGGAAGTGGAATTTTACACAACATTATCCCTTTAGACAGCAAGCATGAAATAAAATGATTCCTTATAGGGGTTGCTTAAAATTACCAAACCATAAAGCATTTTGTTTCACACAATTGTGTTTTCTTGGTTTATAGAATAATCTCCTGATGCTAGCTATTCTGGCCTTTGAAGTTACTATTTACCGACATCAGGAATACTACAGAGGTCGAAACAACCTTATATCCCCGGTGTCTAAAACCATCTTTCACGACATCACAAGACTACACCTAGATAATGGACTTATTAATTGTGCCAAATATTTCATAAATTACTTCTTCTACAAGTTTGGCTTGGAGGTGAGTTTCCTTGGTGTGTTTTATTTCCCTTTTCTGTGAAAATTCAAATAACTGCCCTTGGTCAGTTGGCTACTGTGGCCTCGTTGCACATCTGCAGACCACTTCGACTGTCCCCTGAGAATTAGCAGAAGGTATTTATACTGAGGGGTTAACCTGGCCATGTTTTCCCAGACGAGGTCCCAATGCCCCTCTACAGCGCATCAGTGGACTTGGCTTCTCTAGGTGTCCACAGCCATAGAAATTCCTGGACCAAAGTTATCATGTTGACTTGTTTCTTATTCAGAATGACATATTATTAAGCTTCTTTCTGTTTTGTGAATTCTGGAAGTGTTACCGCTACACAAAATGAACTGCTTTAACCTAAAATGGCTGTGGTAATACCTATCTCTTAATAAAATGAATTTGAACAGTTATGTTTCACAAAGAGCTCATAGCTGTAGTTCTCGTCACTGACTGAAGTGGTTATTATTAACAGTGATATGATGAGTTCTTCTTTTGGAAGTAATTTGTACAGTATTTCTGTCTTCATGTTAGACGACATCCAGAGGAGGCAAGGCATGGGGAAAATGTACAGACTTACCCTCAGGAAGGCAGGGCTCCTGCCACCTCCACAGGGCTGACACTGGCACCACTCCCCTTCCTTGTGAACCCAGCCTTTTGCCTCTTTTCATCCTTACACAGACCTGTTTCCTGATGTCAGTTAATGTGATTGGTCAGCGAATGGATTTCTACGCCATGGTCCACGCCTGCTGGCTGATTGCTGTCTTGTATCGGCGCAGAAGAAAAGCCATTGCCGAGATCTGGCCCAAGTACTGCTGCTTTCTGGCGTGCATCATCACGTTCCAGTACTTCATCTGCATCGGCATCCCACCGGCTCCCTGCAGAGGTGACCCTGCCTTCCCCAGCAGCCGTCTGCTTCCATGATAAGATATTACCAAGTGGACAGTGTGGAGAAAATCGGAGAGAACAGCGTCGATTCATTGTCCCTTCTTCCCTCCCTGCAGATTACCCGTGGCGGTTCAAGGGTGCCAGCTTCAACAACAACATCATCAAGTGGCTCTACTTCCCTGACTTCATTGTGCGGCCCAACCCTGTGTTTCTTGTCTGTAAGTGTTCCAGCCAAAAGCCCGGAGATACTGGTGTTTTCTTTTGTGTTTGCTGATTAGCCTTCATGTGTTGTGCATCAGTGCCCTGCTTGCTCCCCTGGGACTCTGTACCCATGTAAAGGCTTGTCTTTATGCACTAGTATCACTAGCTGTTAATGGCTTCTACTTGCCCCATTACATTTGCAAAATTAATAAATAAACATTGGGAATACCAGATTCTTCACTTTCATGATATCGCCTCCACGCGCGCGCACACACACACACCCTTTAGAAGATACACTAGAGGAGAGGCCTTATATTTTGTGAACCAGTTGTTTCTGGATGCTGCTACAGACAGACCAAACCTAAAGGTATGACTGTGGTAGCTGGGAAGATGCTACCCAAGTTTCAGGACCCCTGAAGCTGGGCTACAGCTCCAAACCCTCCCAAGGGCAAGGCTGGTGAACTGAAGGCTTGGTGCAGCCCCACCAAAGATGGCAGAGAGTGAAGGTCTTGCCTCAAGGCCCCCAGGTTTTAATTTAAAACCACGAAGCGGTGACACTGTGGTGATGAAGCTAAAGGCTTGGTTCTGCCAGGGCCAGACTGGTGGAGTCTGAGGGTGTGTTCTGAGCCGTCAGCCCTGGGAGCAGCTCTGTGGGACTTCCCCCCTCTCCCCTCACAACCAGGCCCCGTTCTTCACTGTCCTCCTCAAGCCTTGACGGGGGTTTATGCTTCTGGGAGCAGTCTCAATTAAAAATGCCAACGGAGTTGGAGAGAGTAAAGAAAAACAGAAGCATCTGTGTCTACTCCATGTAAAAACATGAAATATTTCATGGGGACAACTGCTCAAATGGCCTTCTCATAACTTTGGTGGGAGAAAAATGCAAATAAATGTTGTCATATGAGAGAGTCAGAAAGGCTAATCATTAATACCTGATACTTTCTGTCTCTCATCAACGTGCAAACCAAAATCCAGAGATTCACCCATTGAGAGCCCCTCTTCTGTCCCCCAGGTAGGGAAGAAGTGACTTGGCCCTGACATCGAAATCCAGTGTGAACTTTCTGATAAAGTTTAGGGGAGCAGCTCACATAGGAGCTGGGGAGCATCTCATACTGTGTGATGACCCTCTCTTACTTAGGTTAGCCCCAAAGAGGGGAATGGGGTGTAATGAACTCTCTTACCTTTGACTTGCCAGATGACTTCATGCTGCTCCTGTGTGCCTCCCTACAACGGCAGATTTTTGAGGATGAAAATAAGGCTGCGGTGCGCATCATGGCGGGTGACAATGTGGAGATTTGCATGAACCTTGATGCCGCCTCATTTAGCCAACATAACCCAGTACCAGACTTCATTCACTGCAGGTAACAGTAGCTTTACATTTCTCAGGAGCCACCTGGCTGTGTGCATTTCACTTATACCTCCATTTGCAGTTCCCTCTCTGCTATACTCGGTGCCTTAGTCAACTAGTGTCACCGTAACAGAAAATACCAGACTGGTGGAGTCTGAGGGTGTGTTCTGAGCAGTCAGCCCTGGGGGCAGCTCTGTGGGACGTCCCCCCTCTCCCCTCACAACCAGGCCCAGTTCTTCACTGGGGTGAAGAGGGGGTGGCTTTAAAGAACAGGTGTTTATTTTCTCACAGTTCTGGAGGCTAAAAGTCCAAATCAGGGTCTCAGCCATGTCAATTCCTACAGTGGCCTCTGCTGGTGTTGGTGACTGCCAGCAGTCCTTGGTATTCCTTTCTCCTGCTGGTAGCTGTGTCTGTGGTGTCTTGCCTTGTGTGTGTGTCTGTGCCTACTCTGCTCCTTTCATGACACACCACTCAGAAGTGATTAGGTTTAGGACCCACCCTACTCTGGTCTGATCTCATTAACATGACAAAAGAAAACCCCTGTTTCCAAACAGGTCATATTTATAGGTATAGGGGTTAGGACTTCCACGTTTCTTTTTGGGTAACAATTCAATCCATAACACTGGGGAGGTAGGTCAGCTGAAGTGTACATACTGAAGTAAAGAGGTTTGGGACAGTGTGACTCCACAGCCTAGAAGCTGAGCCTCAGAGTTATAAGTCTTCTGCTTTATCAGCATTTAGCAGCCTTTTCTTGCCTCAGTTTTCCTCTTCTTGATACAGAAAACTGACTTGTGCCAATGGCGCCAGTTCCCAGCCATTCTTCCCCAGCCTAGCATTCAGGAGTGCTGAGCATGAGGTTGGTGCCCTCGGCCATGCTCTGAGCTAGTGCCCTCAGCGCCAGGCTTCCGTGGACATTCCAGGTCCATTGATAGTGCCTTCCTGTTCACCTTGTTCCTTCCAGTCTGGCGACAGCCGACCTTTGCAGCCTAATCATCCCTTCCACAGAGCTTGTGTTTAAGCCACACTGAACGTCTTGCTATGCCTTTCTTGTCTACGGCCACTTCTCGGAGGGCATGCCCTCCCAGTCAGACCTTACTCATCCTTCTAAGCCTTGAAGAATCAACTCAGCCACCAGCTTTAGGAGTCTGACATGCTTATTTGATGCTTTCTGTCGCCTTCACTAGCTGTGTGACTTCAAACTGATCACCTGACCTCTCTAACCCTCACAGGTGTCTACACGGTAGTGCTGTTGTGGGGGTCAGATGTGATACCACAAGTACAGTCATGGCAGGCACGTGCTCAGTCCACAGCAGACATTATTAGGATACAAGGTAGTGCCAACTCCCCACCCCTGAAGTGCCTCTCCAGCTCCCGACCCCCCAAAGTGTTTTATCTGCATGGCACTAGCCACGCCCTACTTCAGACCGGTACTTTAAGAACGTGTCTTATTCCCCTTCTGACGTGGGAGCACCTTTGGCCGAGGTCCACTTCTAGCATATATTTGTATTCATCCCATTCTCCACCTTATAAATAGTGTTGGTCTGCAGCACATATAATACTACTATTGCCAGCTCTGTCCCAGCTTGGCGTGCATGAAGCCAAGTACCCTAATAACACCTCTAGAAGGAAGTGATATCGTTGTACCCACCTTGTAGATGAGGAAACTGAGGCACGGAGAAGAGACGTAGGCTCACCCCTCTTGCTCCCATAAGGGTCACCTTCTCCACAAGCAGCCAGAGACGCAGGGGCAGATTAACCACAAAGCAAGGTATGCACAGCTTCCTTGTGTTTACAGTAGCAAAGCAAGTATTCAAACACAGTCTAGCTCCGCAACTGGATGCTAAAACACTGACCCTCCTGCCTCTCCGTGGCATAAGAGACATTAGAATGGATTTGCTTTACAATGACAGGCTAGATAGACTTGAAGGTTCTTTTTATGAATAGAGTGCCATACCAAACACTACTAGCGGGCGGAGCCTCCACGTCTGCCTCTTGTCTGTGATTTTACTCTGCATTGTGCGAATGGAAGCCTGAATACTGACTCATTGTGTGTCACTGATTTTTAGAGCTGTGCCTTTGTTAGTTTTTAAATTAAATTATTTCAGATTTTTGGGTCTGTTTCTCAGTCAGAACTGTGAGAAAAGTGCCCCCTCAGGGAGTAACCTGTCAAATACCAGGAGAGTGAGTCAGAAGCTAGTGGCCAGGCGTACCAGTCAGAGCACACCCACGCTCACCCCTCCTGCTCCCACGGGCTCAGCTTCTCCGCAGCCTGGCTCTCTGGCAAGCAGCCGGAGATGCAGGGGCAGGTGAACCAGTGAGCAAGGTACCATGGGCTTACTTGTGTTTGCTTACTAATCTGTAGTGAGCAATTTCATCTGGGTTAAAACGGGTACTGTTGTGCACTACAGGTTAGTAAGTAAGCACAGGGAAGCCCGTGCGTGCCTTGCTTATTGGGTGATCTGTCCCTCTGGAGACAGCATCCTTGAGTGGCCTCTGAACAACTGCAACACAGGCCACTAGGGTCCCTCATTGCATCAGGGGTCCCTCAAGCTTCTCTTCAGGGTGTGTGTACTAATGTTTTCCGTGTTAATCTCACAAGCTTACTTGTATGATTTCCGAACCTGAAGCAGGTTAAGCACTATGTGAGGCAGGGGCAGGGGCTCCTAGGTAAACCTGGAAGCTCTACCTTAACGATGACGGGCAAGAAGTCCGTGAGAAGTGCACACCAAGCTAGTGTGGGCACACACACACACTCACACATACACCCACTCACATGCACACACACTCACACTCAGAGATGCCAGCAGTCCGACTCCACTTTACTCAAACCACGCACACTACAGAAGGCCCTGTGGGCATTCCTGTGTCACAGCTCTGCTGGGTCACTCACATCATCCGTGGTGATCCCAGGATACTGAGGAACACTGAAATTTTATTCACTATCCTTCATTTATGATGTCAAGGAAGGGTGTAGTACATTTTAGAAAAATATCATAAAATGTTTAGAGTTATTAAGTGCTTTCCTGTAAAAAGACTGAAGTTCAAAAGTCCACTTACATAAAAAATGTACCTTTAAGGCATAACTCATCCCCTAATTATGCTGGTAAAGTATAGTGCATCTTTTATTCAGAGATTACTTGTTAACACCTACACAATCATCTATGGATCAAAGAACTAACCCAGAACTGGTCCTTCCATGCTTCTTCCCAAACTTGCGAAGAAAAACAACCATTAAGAAAATATAGAGAGGACATGGACCTGCGTGTACAGTAACATCAGTCCAGTGTCAGTGATCCACCATGAGCAAACTCCCAGGCAGCCATGGGGCTGCTGAGACATGAACACCTCCTCACCGACCTTCAGGAAGGACACAACCTCAGAGAAGTCCAAAAACAGAACACTGGAAGGCGCCTACAAGCCTCCATGTCCATCTATACTTTGTCAGGATTGCTTTCCATTTGCAAGGAGAGATTTCCATCTCTAATAAAACCGTTGTATGTTGTATGGATTTGTTTTAATCAGTTTCGCATACTGTGGTGGCTTGCATGTTGCTGTGGTGCTGGAAGCTGTGCCACCAATGTTTCAAATACCAGCAGGGTCACCCATGGTGGACAGGTTTCAGTGAAGCTTCCAGACTGGTGATGTACTTGTGAAAAAATGGGCTAGCGAAAACCTTGTGAATAGCAGAGGAACATTGTCTGATATAGTGCCAGAAGATGAGCCCCTCAGGTTGGAAGGCACTCAAAATATGACTAGGGAAGAGCTGCCTCCTCAAAGAAGGAGCAACCTTAATAGCGTGGGTGGAGTAAAGTTTTCAGGATCTTCATTTGCTGAATTGGCATGACTCAAAATGAGAAGAAACAGCTGCAAACATCCATTAATAATCAGAACGTGTAATGTATGAAGCATGAATCTAGGAAAATTGGCAGTCATCAAAAATTAAATGGAATGCATAAAGGTCAATATCCTAGGCATTAATGAGCTGAAATGGACTGGTATTAGCCATTTTGAATCAGACAATCATATGGTCTACTATTCTGGGAATGGCAAATTGAAGAGGAATGGTATCACATTCATTGTCAAAAAGAATATTTCAAGATATATCCTGAAGTACAATGATGTCTGTGACAGGATAATATCCATATGCCTACAAGGAAGACCAGCTAGTACAACCATTATTCAAATTTATGCACCAACCACTAATGCTAAAGATGAGGAAATTGAAGATTTTTACTAACTTCTGCAGTCTGAAATTGATCAAACATGCAGTCGGGATGCCTTGATAGTTACTGGTGATTGGAATGTGAAAGTTGGAAACAAGAAGAATCTGTAGTTGGAAAATACGGTATTGGTGATAGAAAACGATGCCAGAGATC